ATTTTCCCTTAATAAGAAATGTAGAAGATGTGTAGCGGCATCCCTGATCCAGTAATGGTTAAAAAAGACAGTATGCTTCAGTGACTCAAGCTGTTTATCTTCCTGAGTTCCTAAAAATTCTCTGCTCTGTGTTGATACTGTGATCTGACCAAGGAAGCCCTTACCGTGCTTTCTTTTTAAACATAGGATTCACTGTTGTAGCATTGTATTCTTGATATGTTCTGCCTAATATAAAGCTATTTGTAGACCAGGCTGGAATGTTATCTTAGGCAGGTCAGTGTATAGCTCCTACACACAGCAGCAGCCTACTTTTGTTTTTAATATTCACTGTGCTCTTGTTTTTAAAGCTTTGGAGTTTGGCTTGAAATCCAGGCCACCCAGAATTTACCAGCGAAACTTTCACCGAGTTCAGTGTGACCAGGATTTCAGCCTCAATGCCTAATGTTGCTAATGTGGGATGTGGTAAACTTGATCATCCAGTTTTTTATGGCCACAACAGATGTTCCTTCTTTTAGACCAATGGAAAGCTACTGAACTTCATCCACCCTCCAAAACAAAAATACAAGCATTTGTTTACAGGCTGATTCCAGGAATATGAATTGAATTAGCAGCTGTGAGGTTTGTTCTTGTTTATTTATGAACAAATATATGTACAATTCTTGCTTTTTCCAAAGAAATGTTTCCAGGGTTTTTTCTCTCTATAGTAACAGCATTTTAAACGGTCTAATGCTCCATTATAATTTGTTTAGCACAATCAAAATATCATCATAGTATTTTTTACCTTTTTTTTAAAAAATGGACCAGTATTTTTCCTCTGTCTTAGAAAACAACATGTTATGGTTATATGTTTTTCATTTTGTTGACTTATAATTTAGATTGACTATAATAAAATATTTCTGTAATCATGACCCAAGGTACAACCTATAGCAAATAAAGGTAATGAATATAAATGTTTTCTTCCTCTTGAAGATATTAAATGAATTTTCAAATCAGCATAAAAGGTTAAAAGACTGATGCCTTCTCCTAAATTAGAAGAAAATATATGATAATGTAGTAACTGAGACCTGAAATTTCCTAATATAAGGAGCAAGAAAATTATTGCTAATTTGAAAGGTATCATCCCATCTCTGAGGAAAATATCCAGTGGTTCTTCCACACAAACAACAGAAAATGAACAAGAATGGGAGTGAAAAGGCTCTTTATTAAAGGAATGAAAGTCTCATTAACAGGCATCTGTTTCTTATGAATAAAAGAACTTTATACCCTTTCCTTTCTCTTTCCTGAATTGGACTGATTTCAGGAGTCACAGCACTGTTTTTATTGTGCCAGATTAAAATTTCTTGTGGCCTTGCTTAGTCTTCAGCTTATGTGAAGGCTTTGCTCATAACCAAGTCCCCCACTTTGCTTTAATATGTGCTGCAGCTGTGTTTATTTTTAGTTCTGTGGGCTGTCCTTGCCAGTGATGCTCCCAGCAGCTCTCTCAGGGTAGGATTTATCAGAGTGGCTGAGCAGCTCATCCTTCCACACATCTAGTCTCACTACAGCTTCCTTGTCCTAGCTCTTCATGGACCTTTGCCCAATGTAACTCACTAAACCAACAGAAAATTACCAAACTTTTTGAATAAGCCTTTTTTGTGCCATTTTAGTGAATTGCATCAGCTCAGGTAAAGGTCCTGCAAATACCAAAGGCAGCCTAGTGAGTGGCACAAATTCTTGGCTGGATGAGGGAAAATCATGATGGAACCACGAACTTTTGGAAGCAGAGATCTATTGTGTGTCTTGCAAAACTGTTTCATGAAAAACATCCATTTTTCTTTTCTAAGCAGATTTTTAATGACTGAACTAGCTCATTGAAGACAACACAGGAGAACACAGGAGAAGCAGCAGCAGGAGCACATTCCAGGAGGTATGGAGGGAAACTCTCAGGTCAGCAAGTCCCTCCCAAGGAACCACACTTTCAGGTTGTACACAAAATATCTGGGGTTGTGAAGTGGAACATACCAAAATAACAAACAAACCCAGTATTAACTGATGTTAACACTCATTATGATACATATTGCCCCTTTTCAAACATGCAAATTGGAACTCTCAAGCTGGCATAAACTCTGTAATGCTGAAATTTCTAAAATTATTGGCTGTCTTAGTACTGCATGCTTCACAAATCCTCACAGCAAACAAAGAGGATTCCAACTGTATTCTAAAGGTTAATTTCAAGCAAATGAGACAGTGGTCACATTAGTAATTCAACCCTCTGATTATCTGAGATCTCAGTTGGAAAGGAAAACCTCAATATTTGAGCAGATAACATAATCCCTAAAAGTAATTTAGCTGTTCCCCATGAGTGGTAAATTTTCCTGGAGGAGCCAGCACTTTGTCCCACTTTCAGATGCTGGCATTTGTGTGCACTCTCTACTCCTTCAGCCCTCCAAATAAGCAGCCAACAGCCAGCTTGTTTGGAGGCAGCTGCCACAGAACAATGTGCTCTGTGGCCAAGCCTCACCATTCCTGTTAGCTGTGGTCCTGAGGCTCAGCATTCCCAGCTGGAATGCCACACACTGATCAGATATGTAAAGCTCTGGAGTGTCCTCAATGAATCTGTGCAGGTCCAACAGGAACCTGGGTTTTTATTGAAGAAATACAAAACTATGTAGTGAACAGTAGTGCCTCAAGGAATCAGGTATTTGGGAAGAAAACATACATGAGGGGTTTTTTTTTCCCCTTCTCACTAAAACTTAAAGTGGGAGCCAGCTTTTTCCATAAGTGCAAGAGTGATTGAGTTTGATGTATGCCTAGAGTGATTGTTCCTGAAGAATGCTGGCCTGGCACTTTGCTCAGGAACATTCTGCCTGCTCCAAAGGGCTTCAGCCCTAAAAATCCCTTGGCAAACAGATCTGAATTATGTGACCCTCTGCTGAGTATGTGCCCCCTCAGCTGCTGACAAATACTTACTGCATGTATTCATAAGGATAGTTCAACATTTGTCCAGAGTTCAAACTAAGTTCAGCACGTTTTAGGGCTGATGGCTTTATTCCACTTGGAGGAATTTGGGGGTGGAGGAAAGAACCGACCATAACCATAGTACTTGTCAACATACTTGTAGTGTGTTCCAAGGGTAAAAATAGCTCATGACAAATGTAAGGCATGGGAGCCTGAACTCTTCTTGGAGTGACTGAGAGTCCTGTAGGGTTTGGGTGTCAGTAGGAAAAGAACCTTCCTCATCTGCTGTGGAGAGGGGGATCCTGCAGTTCAGCACACCAAAGCACCTCTCCAGCTGATAGAAAAGTTGTGGAGAAAGAATACAGTGGATAAATGAATAAAGGAAAAAAAAAAAAAACCAAAACCCAGAATTTATAATTTTGATCCTGTTGACTTCAATTTTTGTCAGCTATGGGTTGGTTCAATAGGCAGGTTTCTTGCTATGTAGCTGTATCTAAAACTCCTGACCAGCTGGCTCTCACAGGCCTGGACTGCAGAAATCCCAGAGAAATGTAAAGATCTAACCCAAATCCAGACAAACAGGAATCCTGGTTGGAAAAAAAATTAAGATGTCAAAGAAGACAGGGTGTTTCCAAGCCCAGAAGAGCCACAGCACACCTTGCACTTGAATGCAACCTCTGGGTGTTTGGACGGTAACACATGTATGTAACAAGGCATGTGTTCCATCAGCATGTTGTGCCAAATTAAGTTCTTACACCCAGTGTGCAAGAGGCCAATCCACACTCAGAGTCAGATATTTATTTACAGTTCTGCAAAGAAAGGCATGCTGGGTGGCAAATCCACTATCAAAAGATTTCACTCCTTATACATTTTAGCAAAGGCATGACTGTTCCTTGGCTACAAGTTCCATAGTTCTCCTACTACTTAGTGTTCTATTTTTTATTGGTAAAGTGAGTCCCTCTCTTCTTGTGCTAATTAGTACACATACTCAGTCTTTCCCTTCTTTTGAGTCAGGGGGTCATGAGTTGGTGGTTACGATCTCCCTCTGCCAGAATTACATTTCACCCAGTTGGAGCTGATTTCAGCACAATTGCTGAATTGGCTTTGTTAGTTTCTTCCTTATCGTGGGAGCTCTGCCAAATGTCCTTGTGGTCTGGAAATTCTGCATTCTTTTTACTCATTATCAGCAGGACATCCTTCTTCCCAAGCTTTTTTAACACCACCCTTTCCCCTTCAGGTCTGTGATCACTGAAGCACACCAAGCTCAAAAGTTTAACAAGGCAATTCTTCCAACACGTAATTTATCTAATATTTTATGCTGGTTTTGGCTGGTGTGGAGTCAATTTTCTTCACAATGGCTGGCATGGGACTGTGTTTTGGATTTGTGCTGAACACAGTGATGATGATGTGGAGATGTTTTTGTTATTGCTGGGCAGGACTTATACAGAGCCAAGGCCTTTCCTGATTTCTGTGCTGCCAGGCTGGGGAGGCTGGGGGAGCCTGGGAGGAGACACAGGTGACCCGGACAGGTGACCCCACTGACCACAGGGACATTCCAGACCATGGAACATCACGCTCGGTACATAAGGCAGGGAGGAAGGGGAGGACGTTTGCAGCGACGGCGTTTGTGTTCCCAAGTGACCCTGAGGTGTGATGGAGCCCTGCTCTCCTGGGCATGGCTGAACACCCGCCTGCCCATGGGAAGCAGGGAATTCATTCCTTGCTTTGCTTGTGTGCGTAGCTTTTACTTTCCCTATGGTACTGTCTTTACTTCAATCTATGAGTTTCCTACCTCTACTCTTCCGACTCCCTCCGCGATCCCGCGGGTGGGGGACTGAGCGAGCGGCCCCGGCAGCGCAGCCGGCACGGGCTGCGGGCGGGCCCCGAACCCCCGCTGGCTGGTTGAGGGCCGCGCCAGGCACGCTGGGGCGGGGAGTTCCGGCTGGGCGCCGCCAGCAGGCCAGGCCGTGATTGGGAACTACACTTCCCGCCGTGCCTCGCGGCGAAGAGAGGCGATAAAAGGGGGAACAGCGCAGGTGTCGCGCTGGAGGGCAGGTGCGGGTGGTTGGTGCGGCTCCGCTGAGGACTGGTCCTCCTGAGGCTTCATGAAGCCGCAAGAGCCGCCGGAGAGCGGCCCTGCCGCCGCCGCGCTGGAGGCGCTGAAGCAGCGAGCGTGCGAGAGCGTGGATCTGAACGCTGCGCGTCTGGGCGCGCTGAGCCGCGACATCTGGAGCCGTCCCGAGCTGGCGTACGCGGAGCACCAGGCGCACGACGCCCTGACCCGCTTCTTCTCCGGCAGGGACGTGCCCGGCGCCGCCTGGGCCGTGCAGCCGCGCTACAAGCTCGGCACCGCTTTCCGCGCCGACTGGGGCACGGCGGCCCCGCAGGACCCGCTCCGCCTCGCCTTCCTCTGCGAGTACGACGCGCTGCCCGGGCTGGGGCACGCCTGCGGCCACAACCTCATCGCCGAGGTGGGCGCCGCCGCCGCGCTGGCGCTGAAGGCCGCCCTGGAGAGCCTGGCGGAGCCCGTGGCCGTGCAGGTGCGAGCCCTCCCGGGGGAGCGCTGGTGGGCGCTCCCTGACAGCCCCTGACTCTCTCCGTGCCTTTGTGCTGCAGATCACCGTGCTGGGGACCCCCGCGGAAGAGCAAGGAGGAGGCAAAATAGACCTCATCAAGGCTGGGGCGTTCGATGGCCTGGATGTGGTTTTCATGGCGCACCCCTCGCAAGAAAACGCTGCTTACCTGCCCGACGTGGCCGAGCATGAGTGAGTGCGTGGGTTCAGGTGCAAAGAGATGGTTTGTTGTTAGCTTTTTGTCCCCTTCCTGAGAAGGGGACCGGCTTTAGCAGTGGCTGAACCCGGAGCCCTGCAGGTGCCCATCAGACAAAGGTGTCTGCTCTCAGCTAAGGAGCCAGGTTAGTGTTAGGGAATGGCACTCGGAGCCATTCTTCCAAAGTGCTGTGTTCAGCCTAGTGCTCAAATCCCTGACTGATCTGAGATAATCTTCCACGTATCCCAAAAATCCATCTTTTGTTGTGACAGTTCTAGGCGTTTCTTGCAAGCATTCATGTGATGATGCCAACTGTTGAAGTAGAATTTAACGATACAACTGCAGGGTCTCTCTCAAGGGTCATTGTTTTATGCTTTCCTGGATGCCAGTCATGTGCTTCTCTATGCATTTTTAATCAGTTTGGAAGGTTTGCCTTCCTCCGTTTGAAAATAACTGGCCAGCTAAGCCTGACTGAACTTTGGATCAGTAGTAGCTTCCACACTAAATTTAGTCAGTCATGTTGTGTGTATTAACTCTCACATCAACTTTTTGGTTTTGATCCATAGTAGTACCTGTCTTTCCTTCATGTTTGCCCTTAGTGTCAGGATGGACATCAGTCCTACCCTACACAGCTGCCTTTTCTGCCAGCCGTATAACTCTTTGAAAATTATATCTTGTCTTCTTTTGATTGGCCCTGATGTTCAGAGACAGCACTGGCTCACTTGTGCTTTGAGTCACTTGACTTGCCTTTAAGTGCACCTTGCTGGATGTGCATCCCCAAAATTGTACACACTACATGAGGTGCAATTGCCTTAGATCTTACTCAGCTGCTGCAGGGGCCATAGTGTTTCCTTACAATTTTGGAGACAGCTGGCACGTTTGAGACTTCCTCTTCAGTCATTTTCAAGCAATCAACTCTTAGGCAAATGCTTGGTCTTTAAGTACATGATTTTAAAAAAATGATTTGGAGATTCGTTCTTTTCTTTCTCTGCCAGTCTGCAAGGCCATGCTGTTCTTCCTTTGGGGTTGTAAATATCTGTTTCCACAGTGTCCCAGCAGTAGTCTGCCAGCAGGTTTTTTTCCTATGTTTTATGTCACATTCTTCTATTATGTGATTCCTGATCCCAGAGGGTCTTACCTTGCAGAGTCTTCACTAGTAAACTCCCTCCAGTGCAAAAGCTTTTGCAAGTATTACATTTGACTGTTTCAGACTAAATTCTGATTTATTTAGATAAGTAATTTTCCAGTCATTTATGATTTGTACTGGGAACTGTTTTCAGATTGGTTGTGCTATTGTCTAGCTCTAATATGCTTGATATTACTGACCATTTTACTTTTACCAGGGCTGTTTCCAGTGGATAATTTGCTTCTGTAAATGCTAAGTTACATGGTAAAACAGACAGGGTTAATTTTCATCACCTGGCCAGTTCTCTGCTACTTTCCTTCCTCGTGTTTCTAAAGAGTCTTAACTGGTTGTTGTACCCTCCTTCAAGACTTAGCCCAACTTGCCTTTGCTTTACCTTAAGACTTCTATTATAATATTCAAGATGTAGTTTTCAATGATAGTTCTGTCTTTCTGCTTGCAATAGCCTTTTGAGTTTGATACAGTAAGATTTGGAAATCTCTCTTCAGAGGTCAGAGTCTGCAATAGGATGCAAGTCCTAGATAGCCTTTAAACCCTTGAACATGGAGGAGGCATGGAATTGAAGTGCTGAGTGAAACAACTTAATACCTCCAAAAGCTTGAAATACTGAGTTTGTCATATTTTATGTAATTATGATGCTTCAAGGGTGGAAAGACAGCTTTTCTAATTTTAATTGGTCTTTGGTTGTTTGCAGGGAGTTTAAGCACTGGTGTTCACTAAGTTGCTAGTATTGCTGTGTCTGCAATTCTGAAAACTGGCTTGTGCCTGAAATAAGATTAACATATTGGGATAACTGGTGGATACATGCCAAAGTTTGCTGATTCTTACTCAATTACCCTTTGCTTCATCAGCCTATTTATTGTTGGACAAACAGGATCCACATTCTTCTGCTGGTATTCTTAAACTGGCTTAGGGTGTTATTATTCTGCAAAATCTCTTGGGTTTTTCTGAGTGTCTGTGACATTTGTGTAGCAAAAGAAGTACAAGTAAAGGAATGCTGAAAGAATTTCTTTTAATAAGAAACACATGTTCCTTCTGGAAGAGGATACTGCAGCATGACTTTCTGCTGTACTTTGCCTTCTTTCTGTATTTTTGAGAATGTTCAGGGATCTTTGTGAGTTGATTTGAGGGGTTGCAGTCTAATACTTGGGATATTAATGGACAAGTTTCTTACATTTCTTAATGATAATAAATTTTAAATAAAATTCTTAGTCTAGAGAATGGGTTCTGTGATTGTCTTGGAAGATCAGTGGGGATAGAAAAAGGCAAGAAGCCTAATTTGGGTTGCAGGAGCAGTAAGAGATGTTTCCTGTTGCAACAGTACACTGCATTGTGTCCCTCTTTTCCTTCCAGAGTTTAAGTGCTGGTGTTAACTTGCAGCTGTGGCATGGTTCTGAGCACAAGGGTCACTTCAGGATAACTGGTTGAGTTGGCATTTGTGCAAGACAGAGGGACAAGCAAGTTAGGCTGGATAAGAGACAGGTTGTGTGTCTTGGGGTGGGAGGAACGCTTGAAGATTGAGTTTTTTCTATAAAGGAGTAGATTTGGAGTACAGATTGTTCTGTGTATTTTATAAATAGCGAGACTTTATATGTAGATGTCAGTATTTAATGTTTTCCTCTTTTGTAAACAGTTCTCATAAACAGTCTAAAATACTAAGTTACTTTGTAAGGCTAATATTAGTGGCCCTCAGATGAAGCAAAGCATTCATTTTCACTGGATATGTTAAGGTGCAATATTTTATAACTTCTGTGAAGTTGGAGGATAGCCTTTGCATTAGATTTCCTCCTTGTTGCAAGCCTACCACCTTTTTAGAAGGGTGCAAGAAGAGAACATCCTTGCTGTAGCATAATAATGTGTATTTTACAATAGGCTGTGCTTTTCCATACTCATAAAACTTGACTTTTGTTATTTAGGCATGGGTTATATGTGGTCTTACGTGCTTTTGCTATCTTAGATATTGTACGCAGTTTATTTGACAAGAATTAGGACGCTCAACTTCCAGATTTGAATCAGAGAAAAGGGTTTGTTACCCTCTGAGAAGAGTGTTTTTAAGTTAAAGTCTCAGAAGAGTCAGGCAGTATTAAAAAAGCGGTGGAGGGATTTAATTACTATGTGAAATGTGTACATTTCACATAGTAATTAAAAGGCTATATAATGATGTTACCAGTAGCTCCCTTGCCTGACTGGCTCTTGGTATCATTCCATTCTGCTGGTTTTCTAGAAGTCTTTCAGTGGATTTTTGCACTCCAAGATAGTTTATCTATGCAACAGTCAAGTGCCAGATATTATTGTTTGATGTTATGCTGACCAAAATTTAAATAACATATATTTGTGGGAACGAAAGGACATTTTTCATTTCAAAGATTTTTTTTCAGTGAATGAGAAACAAATAAGCAATGCCTTTTATTTCCTAGTGTGACTGTGAAATACTATGGAAAAGCTTCTCATGCTGCTGCTTATCCTTGGGAAGGAGTTAATGCATTAGATGCTGCTGTTCTTGCCTACAACAATCTGTCTGTTTTAAGGCAGCAGATGAAACCGACCTGGAGAGTTCATGGTGAGATCTTTCTTAAACCTAATGTCCAGCAAGTTAGAGTTTAGGCTGCTGAAATACTAACATAGAATATCACACATTCCAAAGTATTGCACTAAAGCACTAAATTAGTTTAGTAATTTCAAATATTATGAAACAGCACCATTTTATTTAAATGGTGTGTCTGCAGTTTTTACAGTGATGTCAGTGTCCAGAACTAACTGCTCAAAACAGGCTGAGAGGTCAGATTTGAAAGGGGACTCCAATGCCTAGGTAAAGGTTAGATCAATTCTAAGTCTTGAAGTTGCAGTTCAGAAAAAAAAAAAGAAAAAAGTGTAAAGTTTATTTTGGTACATGGCCTTGAACTCCTTAATATGTGTGGATTTGCAAAGGTGTAAGATTAAATAGTTCCAGAAAGTGAGGTATTACTTACTGCATCACTTTTTGAGTAGACGTTCCATTAATTAGCTGGCATTTATTGGAAGGGTCTGGTGGTCTGGAATGAAATTTATTTGGTGAAGTACAAAGAACAAGTGATGGCAGCAGATCATAGTCCTGGTTATAGCCCAATCAACTAGATGTTCACTGTATTCTTATATTTAATATCTAGTAGGTTTTGAATTAGAAAGGCCAATTTGCAGAAAGACATGTTAACCATTAAGCTTGATTTGTCCTCCTTCAACATGGTGCATTTCTACCTGTACAGTGAAAAAGGTTCAAAAGGTGAGGGGAAGCTGCCCTATAGCCATAAACCCAGGGTTCCTTATTGCACCCAGCACAACTTCTGCCAAGTTGAAATGAAGAAACTTTGCCAATTCTACAGGACTTCTGAATGTAGAGCTGTTTATTTGAAATGTTTGTTATGAGCTAAAAATCTTTCCAGATGTTTTGAGCTGATCATTATGTATCTTGGCTGCTTGTGCTGTATGTAATTCAAGCGTGCATTTCTGTCCAGAATATCTGGATGGAGTCCTAATCCTTTTGACTGTAGATGAAGCTATTTGCAGTTCTGCTGTGCAGCATGCCCAAATGAATTTCAGACAGCAGGCACAGCCTCTCTATCCTATTTCTCTGTAGAAAACAAGGCATGTAATTAAGAGTTTTGGTGTCTGCAACCCATGTGTTGCAGGTTTAATGCTGAAGATGCCCAAGTTTTCTGTTGAATCTAAGCCTAAACCCCTAAATACTGCTTTCTTTGTGGTTTCTAAAGGTTACATGGGTAATGTTGGCAAAAAATCTAAGTAGCTAAACAGTAAGGCCTTCCAAGGTAATGCTTCCTGAACAGTGGCAAAACTGAAATTACTGTGTTGATACAACTGCTGCCATAAACCTGGTTTTTCAATGTGGAAGTATTTAAATAACTTCTGGGAAAGGACAAGCAGCCAGAGAGCGAGACTGAATTTTAGAAATGCTTTCTTTACAACATTGTGTAGGAGACTTCATGTTGTAGACTTTCTGTATAACCAGTGGCTGAATTAAGTGATCCTAAAAATAGTAGTGTTACCCCACTTACAAAAGCTGGAATAATTTCCATTGCTTGAAGTCTAGAATTCTAACCAATGCTTCATGTACTGAAATATCATTGTCTTGAGTTCATCTGAGATATTGATGTGATCTTTCTTCCCTGCTTATGAGTGGAGTATATGTTGCCCCCTTAAAAATGGGAATGTAGATTTTTTTTTTTCCTGTTCAAGAAGTTGTATTAAACAGGTTGTAAATAAGATTTTCCATCCAGAGGGGCAAATTGAGTGCTACAACAGTGTGCAGGCAGCCTACTTGTAGTTCAGGTCTGCTGTCCAGTCCATATTGCAGTTGTATTGAAATTTAACTGTAGACCTATTCAGACTCTCTCCAGTTCCATTTACAATTGTTCTGGACAAGACAAGTGAAAACTGTTTACTCATGAAGCTACTTGTTCTGAGAAAGCTTGTTATGGGTATGTGTCATTCAAATTTGCATGGATACTTACTGCTTCCCTTCCTGTGATGTCTGTCCCTCTCATCTGAGCTGTTCCTATTGTTATGGACAAATACTGATACTGGATTAATTCAACACTCTTTTTTATTTGGACTGTATTTGAGACTGGAGGTGAAGTTGGTAATCTTAATGGGTTTTCTGCACCAAAAGAAATATTTTGTTGTCTGTTTACAACAATATAGTGCTGTCTCTTCAGGCCTCAGTGACACACATCAGTAACTTCTGCAATATTTCCATTTAAGGTAGAAGTTTCTCAGGTTCTACAGAAAACAAATCTAATTCCACATAATAGAAATTGAGGGTAGAAGACCAGGGAAACACCCTGTTGGAAACAACTGGCTGTTAGTGCAGTTACACCTAATGTGAAACTGGGATCTGTGATGTGTTCTTGTCAAAATATCTAAATATTACTGTATTTTATGGAAATGCCTTTGATGCCATAATGGTAAAAGATGTAGTTGGTCACACATTCCCTTGAGGGAGCACTTTCAGCTCAAACTGCACTTGTGACTAAAGCTACATGTGTTACACATTCCAGTATTTCTGAAGAATTAAAATGAGCAATGTAAATGAACTTTCTGTGCACTGCAATACATACATTGTTTCAGTATTGCTGAGAAACTTGTTCAGATTTTCTTCAAGATCACAAAATAAGTTGGAAACATTCTAATTGAGGAAACATTTGAAAGTTGGACTCCAAGTAATCCCTTTTAGCAATTTTTTTTCCCTGTTGGCAGACAGATTACTTTATGACTTCAATGCATTGAATTTTAGGGGATTAATTAGAAATGCTAGTTTGACTTGACTCTGGGATGTAAAACAGATGTCTAACCAAAGAATGCTGTGAAATTGTGCTGAAAGACATGTACATGTTCCACATGTAATCTGACATGATGAAGAAACTTTGTCCACACACTGCATTTTTTACATTCCTTGTATTTCATGTTCAGCTGATGTTTTGTTGTTTTTGTTTATATGTTTATAGTTCTTGACCCAGGAATTTAATGAGAGGGCTGAAGATCAAACAATTGCATTTAATACTGACAACACAACTTTTCCCTTTCTGCAGGTGTGATAAAAAATGGTGGTGTGAAACCTAACATCATTCCTTCTTACACTGAACTAGAGTTTTACTTGCGTGCTCCTTCAAGGAAAGAGCTTTCTGTTCTGACAGAGAAGGTTGAAAACTGCTTCAAATCTGCAGCAGTGGCCACAGGATGCAAGGTAAGAACGTATTCATTGTCCTGTGTTTCTGTTACACAGACCAGAACAGGAAATCAGTGTTTACTTTGTCTGCATAGTGTTTAACCAAAGTAAATCTAAATTACTGGTACACTTTTTGCTGTTCTGTTGCTTTGTGTCCTGAGAGAAAGCTTTGGTTTATAAGTAGAGTGCCACAGAATCCTAGAGGAATATGTGTTGGGGGAGAGACCTCTGGAGGCCATCTGGTCTAATTCTCCATTCAGAGCAAGACCAGTTAGAGCAGGTTGCTGAGTGCTGTGTGAACTTCTGAATACTTCCAAGGATGAAATTCTACCACCTCTCTCAAAAAGTGCTCTACACACCTCGTGGTGAGCAAGGGTTTTCCTAATGTTTATGCTGCAATGACTTGAGCACTGACACAGGTTTCCTGCAGAGATTGCTGTGTTTCCCTCTTTGGAGATACTCAAAAGCTGCCTCAGTATGGTTCTGGGAAAGCAGCTCTAGGTGACCCTGATTGAGCAGGGGAACTGGACAAGATGACCTCCATAGGTGTTTTCCCACATCAACCCTCTGTGATTCTGTTGTATCCAACAGGATTTCCTTTGCTGCTTCTTGTTGCATCACTTTGACATGTGAGAAGTCTGGTTCTGCCTTCGCTGTACCCTTCCCATCTGGTAACTCTAGACAGCAGTAAGGTGCCCCACTAACCTTCTGTTCTGTGAGGGCTCAGCAGATCAAATTCTTTCAGCCTGTCCTTGTACATTGTGTTCTCCACCTAATCATCTTGGTGGCCTTCCCCTGGCCTAGCTCCAGTCTTGATTTGAGGAGAAAACAAACAAACACAGCACCAGCTGTGGTCTCACAGAGGTTGACTCCATCAGTAATAAAAATACTGAAATACTAATGGCACCAGTCTCAGTTGCAGATGAGTGCTGCAGTAACAGGCAGCAATGTGGTATTTTGTGCTGCTGATTATAAAACACTTGGAGCTTGCATGTCTTGTGTCATCTGAGCCAGTCATGTTGTCATGCAAAGCTAGGCTTGATCATGCACTATCTGCTCTTAAATGAGTTCCATCTTGCGTGGTGGATGTTCACAATCACCTTGTGATTCTTGAGCCTGGGCATGAGTTCTAGGAGGATTTATTTGCTCTGTAATCTCTCTGGGAAACTTGAGACTAGGATGGTCTGAGGAGTGTGTAGTTTTCAAGGACCTCCTCTTGGCCCTTCAAGAGGATTTGACATTTAGGTGTTGTTCAGTGAGCTGGAACATCCCTCTGTTTCAGTAACACTAAAAAAATAATGGCTCCCAGACTGCATTTCTGCTTCTCTTACTCTGCATCCTTGGATGCATCCTGCCTGATCCCATGTACATTTAATTTCTTTAAGTGTCCTGTAATTTCTTTTTGTTTTGCTGTGGGTGATGCTTCTATCCTACAGATAGTGCTGCTAGGCTCAGAGACCTGGGAGGCTTGATGGCAAACCTCACCTGTAGAAACAAGCAAAACAGGTATTGGGTATTCTGTCTGTTTTTTTCCCATATTCTTGGTCATTAGGTCCACTGCCCCATTAAGCAGCAGGCTCATGTAGCAATTGAGTGATTTTTCAATTAGCATTCTCGTTTGTTTTGATTTTAGTAAATGGAAGTGTGTCTCATCTAGCTGGTTGAAGCAATAAGATTACCTTTTTTATGTTGCTAAGATAGATGGTTCTACTTGGCTCTGTTAATTACAAGCTTTTGACTAATTCAGCTGTAAAAATAATGTATGTGATCATCAAAACAAATAGATATGGGATATGAGAATGTCACTTTTATAGTCTTCTTGAGACAATAGAAGTTGTTTCCCTACTGTGCCCCCTTCACTATATCTAGAAAAGAGGTTCAGAAAGTGCACTTTATGCAGAATGAAAGTTCTGAAATTTGACATTGATAGATTTTTTTCATTTGTTTTCAAATTTCTTATCTGTATGAAGCCATGTCATGGATGGGGCTGTAGTTATTGGAAGCATTCTGAAAAAAGGTAACATAGTTTGATAAAAGCCTATGTAGTTTAGTAGTACTTGCAGGCAAAATCATTAGACACTGTTACAGGAAATATTTGTTTCCTGTTTTTGGAGAAAATTTTGAAATCCTTTCTTCTGGAATTTGGGTGTCTAGTGCAAACTGAACAGAACATCAGCTGTGTTTTGATGGAGGGTAATATTTGGCAGGATGTTGTATTTTTGAAATAAACTTAGCGCTTACATCTGTTTTGCCTTGGGCTTGAAGTCTGGATATGTAGGGGTTTTTTTTTGGCCTTCAGATTGTTTACATTGAACTGGCTTACACTGGAGAAAAACTTACAGTCATTTGGGGTTTTTGTCTAGGTGGAAATAAAAGGTGGTGAAAATGATTACTACAATGTGCTTCCAAATAAGAGCCTGCAGAAAATTTACAAGGAGAATGGAAAGAAGCTTGGAATAGATTTTATATCAGAAGATGCTATCTTGAATGGTTTGTCAGGTAACTCCAGCTGCATTTTTCATTGTATCTTAAGCTTAGGTTCATCAAGCTTCAAGTGTATAAAATAACAAATAAGAGCTAAGTTAAACACAGAAGAAAAAGCCAAATTACAAAGCTAAAGCTCTGTAGAAGGTTTATATCTCTGGCCTGCGTTTCTGTATTTGTTGTAGAAACTAAGAAGAGGTAAGAAAAGCAGTAAACACCTTGTAATAATTCTGAAAATATTTCAATAAGCAGTTTGGTTGGGGGAAGGGATAGAAAGCTAAGAGCAGTCTTTCTGAGAATATGAGCATGTGTAATGAATTGTCTCTCATTCTGTGGCTTTAAAATACAGAATCCTGTTTGCTATAAATGGGGATGAGACTTTGTTTTCAGGAACCTTGTTTAATAACATTTTCCAAGCTTACCTATAAACAAATATACTAGAATCTAGCAATTATTTTAGAGGGAGTTTTTGGAGAGATTTATAACTTGAAGTTTAAGTATCTCACTAACTCTGATTTAATCTTTTCATTAACAAGTAATTACATGCCTCTAATTTTAGTTCATGAGTTCAACAGATTAGTTTTCCAAAGGGTGCTCTTCAAGTAGGTGTTCACTTTTGGGTCTTGACTGTGTCTTAAACAATTTAACTTTCTTAGTCTCTTAGCTGTAACAGCAATGGGAGTTCTTGAATGCTTAGGTGGGTTTCTTGTTATCCTTAACACTTTCTTTTTCAGAATCTTCCTACAGGAGCTCTGTTCAAGTCTCAACTTCTGCTCATACTTTGAGCCTTCACTGCTGATCTTAACTGTATTTATGAATGTTTTTACTCCATTCATGCTAAAGGTTTTTCTCTTAGAAGGAAGACACTGTTCTCAGTACTTGGTACTTGTCTCAGTACAGTGGTACTTGTCTTCTCTTTATTAAATGCAGATTATCTTTGAAATTTGGACAAATTTAGTGTTTAGGAGCAGCTCTCCAAATTTCGTTTTGTGGGTAGGGGAGACATTATATCTAATGAAATTCTTGGTATCTAATGGTGATGGGATTTTTTTCTGTTTCTTACTTCCCTTTCAGATTAAACAGTGGTTCATTGTCTTGTGTTTAAAAACATAATTATAACTTAAGACAGATTTCTTCCTACTTTCTTCAGTGTAATACAAATAAGATTTACTGCTTTGCTTGTTTAGCCAAAGGAGGAGACTGAGGAACCTTAAAATGTTTACTGTAGTGCAACTTTCTGGAGCTCTGCTAGTTGGTTCCTTCAAACCATTGTAGTAAGGATGATCATGTATATCAACGATTTTGCTTTTGTTCAGAGGTCTTGAAGTGAACTTTTCACAGACACCCAGCTGCAGTAGGGCTTTCATATGTAAGTTATATGATATGCTCAATGTTAACCATTAACTTGCTTAAACCAAAACTCCCTGTATGGCTGTCCTGTCCTTGAATTGCGTGTCAAATGTCAAAATGTGCTTGAGCAATTGCTTTTTTATCTCACATTGCAGTGGGGTTTACTGAATTTTCTTTCCACAGCTTCTCCTCTGAATTTTTGCAGTGGGAATTCAGGAGAGATAACAAAGCACAGTCTCCAGAGCCATAGGAGTGGAACTTTGTATGCTGCCCTTTTCCGGGGGGGGATTGAGTATTTTGTGTCATCTTTTCCAAGACCTCTATTTCTGTTTAGTTTTCATGTGGTTTTCAATGTTTTCTTTTAGGATGTCAGTTTCTTCTGTTGAAAGGGAAGGAAGATAGCTCAGTTGCTTCTCCATGTCTGTGCAGCAGAACAGTCGTTCAGAGCTGGGCGCACTCGGTGCCACCTCTGCGTGGGCATTAGTGTGGCTCTGCTCCCAGGTATCACTCTAGGCAGAAAAGTGTCACCAGGGCTTCCCTGAGCACCTCAGACCACAGGCACACAGCCAGGGGGTGTGACATCCTGTGAGACCGAGCTAGCTTGGACCAGGTGCCAGGACCTGTTTCTCCTGCTGCTGTTTGTAGGACTTTACTACAGGAAATTTATCCATAACCTCCTAAAGCAGATGGCTTAGTTACACAGGGCTTAGTTGAGGCACCCACACCTGTGATAACTTAATCTAGTCAAAATGTAGTATTCATGGGGTTCATTGGCTTCCTGTGCACAAAACTGATAAAGAAGATCTTAAGAAGGTCTAGTATATTTGAAAATTCCACTTTTGAAGCTTGGGACTCTATGAAATGTTGCCTGGAATCTTTTGTGTTTTCCCCTCTGCTTATGTTTGTGGTAATACTGACTCCATTAAATATGCAGTGACTTGAAGAGGCTTCAGGATATATTTTTGAGAGGCTGGAACTCCAGTATCTCTCTGTTGAAGGTATATGTATATATATTGCATTATGTATATTGCATTGGTAACTGCAATTACTTATGCTCCCAGAAAGAATCCAAATCAATATGTGTCTAGCAAGCACACAATTTCAGGTGTTCTTATGGAAATTACTAAACACCTGATGTTCTAAACATACCTCTATCTTATTCCCATAAAGGGTGTAACATTTTATCTGATAGAGGGGAAGATTTAGCTGTTAGATTTTTATTAAAAGCTGCCTGGATTTTGCCTCTCCATGTTGCTAGAAGATACCCAATTTAAATGTCTTCTACTCAGCAAAAATAACATGTCAACTGGTAGTACATTGAATATGGATATAAATTTAGGAGGAATGACATGACTGAGAGCTATGATGCTGTGAAATTTCTAGTGTTTCATTTGCTAAGTGGAAGTAGGGAAAAGGGCAGCACAGTCTTTGCAGCAGTTTGTGTATTGGGACTTAGAAAGGCAGGTCTAGAACCTTTGGTTGAGTTTGGAGCGTGCAGAACTTCTGGTTTGTGTGTCCAGATTGGCCAAAGAAGGAATCAGTAGTACCGACTACTGGAAATTAAAATGACTTATTGCTGTGCCAAGAGTTGGATTTTCTTCAAATGCATCCTGAACTTACGGGAAGAGATGTTTTTGAACAAGCTTTGCTGTTCCCCCTGTCTGTAAGCAGAGTAAATAGCAAACTCCTGTCCTCATAATGTAAGCTCTGTGGACTCACTTTCAATAACTGTAGGCTTCCAAGTAAAGTCTGTGTTTTTCCATTGTTTAATTACTAATTCTTAAGGCACTAGCAATATCTTCTCTTCATAAAGTATCACAAATATAGAGGCTACCTGATGTGTTAAAATTAAATTTTATACACCATTACTAAAGAAACAAATTCTTGCATCTCTGGCCCCAAAAAGTTAATTGGGATCTTAGTGGGTCATCCCTCTTTTTCCCTGGTATAAAACAATGCTTCCTCTGGTACCTGGATTTCACAATTAGTGGTACATTGATTTCTCCAGCTTCAAAATGTCATTTTAACAAATAATGAGTGGGTTGCTTGTTTGGGGGAAAAAGAAAAATCCAAAGCCACTTGGGATGTAGTTGTAGACTCTTGGATCATTTACCATGAAGAATATTCTACTTTGGGATGATACCATTCAGTAGATCCTTATCTGTGAGATAGGTGCTAGATAACATCCTGAAAGTGATAGGCATGAAAGAATCATCATTGAAATGTGCAACATTGCTATCAGGTGTTTGTCTACAAAGACCTAGCATTTTATCTGGAGTTTAGTTCTGATTTTATTTCAAGGGTGCTTGTGCTGTTGAGATTTCCATAAGTGAGAATAATCAAAACACATGAGGTAAAAACAGTTACCCTCAATCTGTTTTTGTTCAAAGATTAATAGTTTCTACTGTAGTCCCCTACAGAATGCTGAATATTTGCATACTGGTGAGAAGCAGGAATTGTTTGGCCTAGTTCTGAAGGCTCTAACAGGGAAATAGCTGAAATGCCTGACACTCCCAAGGTTTGCAGCTTTCCTGTTTCTGAGCTAACAGCTTACTGTCAGGAGATGCTTGATAAAAATGAGCAGTAAAAGGAATAAGAACATGCTGATACATCTTCCTTGCAGTCCAGTAACTGGTCATTGATCAGAAGTGCACTGGAGGGCAGCTCCTGAAGATGACTAGTTAGGGAAAAACACCTTGGTGACAGGATATATTTGTATGGATAATGGCTCATTAGAAATGTTCTTATTTTAGTATCTGGGGCAAAGGATACTCCATTTTAGACATGGGCTGGAGAGAATGTCTATCATGCATTTTCTTACAGCATTCATAACTGCCCAGCACTTTTATTAAGAAAATCTCTGTGCTGCTTCTAGGTTCCACAGACTTTGGAAATGTTACATTTGTGGTCCCTGGGATTCATCCTTATTTTTATATTGGCTCTGATGCATTGAATCATACTGAGCAGTACACAGAAGCTGCAGGTGAGTGGAAGTGAAAACAATTAACATTAATTGTAGAGTTGCAGAAAAAGCTGACAAATGCAGAATTTCTTGGTTTGTGTTTGAGGTTATATGTATATGGGTAGGATAACCACTCCTCATACTAAAAAAGAAATTAGAAGGATTATCTATAACAGCATATTCAGAAGAATTTCTAAACATGAGCTGAAAGATAAGTAATTTTTACTCCTAAAATACAGGAAATGTAACAGTGCTAGCTTATAAATCTCCCCATTTTCTGAAGGGCATAATATGAACATTCAACATTCCTGTTCTCAGTCTTAGTTGTTTTTGTCAGTAGCAGAAAATTAAGTACTTGCAAAAGAAAAAAATGCTTTGAGGCATGGGAAAATAGGTTTACTTCATGCAAGTAGATTTTTAAGAAAATGTTCTTGAAGCTGAAACTTATAATCTTACTTTATAAAATATCCCTCATGCAGCAAGCAAGTGGTTTAATATTGGTAATCTAAGCTGAAATTCCCCTTACATTTTTTTTCTGCAGGGTCACAGACTGCTCAGTTCTACGCCTTGCGCACAGCAAAGGCTTTGGCAATGACAGCCCTGGATGTCATCTTCAAGCCAGGTCTGTTAGAAGAAGTCAGGGAAGACTTCAGAGAAGTGAAGCGGAAAGAAGAGGAACAAACAAATCCAGTAGAACCTAAAAAAGAATCTGGTGTTGGTGAAGGAGCATGTGCATCACACTAAACTTGATTAAAACATTCTCAGTAGCATTGACTTAATGGAGATGCTGTATTTAAATCCCAATAGAGGCTGGATAAATACATAGCTGAAGAAATTATGATTTTATTTAATTTGGACTTTAGGAGAAGTAAATAGTATAATTGCTTTCAAAAAATGTGAAATTTCATCTAGCTGTAATGTTTGTGTTCACTAGGGTGATGATTTTCATACAGAGATCTCAAATATGTTCTCTTTAATTTGCAGTGTTGAATAAATTACAGTCTTTAGATCCCTTATCAGTGATGTTCCATGTAGTGCTATATTAATATTCTTTTTAGAGGAAGTATGGTTGTTTTCTGTTCTAAAATAAGCCCTTTTCATTCAGTGATCATATGCTGAATCTGATCTGTGAAGCTTTTATTAAATTTCTGGTCAGTCACTTTTCTTGGGACAAGATGGAGACTTAAAAATGAGCTGGTTTCACTGGAGAGAAGGGGCTATGTTTGGAAATATACTTGGTTTTGATAACAGTAACTTCCAGCAATGGAAGAGGACTGTTTCTATAGGAGTGCAATCTGTAAAGCTTGATTGTCCTGACATGTGTTGATTTTCCTCCTAGTAAATTCTGGGGGTGTTGTGGAGAAGTCATGCATCACAAAATTGGAAAGCAGCTAAATGTTTATTTGATTAAATCAACACATTTAAACTACTGCAAGAAAAATTCTGCTCTGAGGCAATACAGGTGTCCACACAAGGTGTTGCATTAGCTTAACTGATCTGAAGGAGATGTATAAATTTATCTAAACCAGTGGAAATCTTTGTGACAAAGCTACAAGTGTGGTGCCATGAAGCAATAAATGGTTGTGTGCAAGTCTCTCTAGTAATCTCAGAGGAGCTTGCAGTGAGGACTGCTGACTTTTTTAACCTGTTTGTTCCCGTGTCCTAAGCAGCAGATCTGTAAAGTCTTGCCAGTCATCCTTTCTGTGTGTTGTGTGGTTAGTCCATTTAATTTTTATTTTGCTTCTCAAGGACATTGATACTGCAGTTTTATTTAGGTGGTGTTTTGTGTACCCAGTCATGCTAGGATGCCTTTTGATTCACTGGTTAAAGGATCTTGTGAGTACACAGAAAAGAAGTCAGTGGACAGATGGAGTGAGAAAGCAACTTCCTGATTAACATTTTCCTCAGCACAGGTACTTCTGGAAGTCTCAGGAAGGAAGGCAGGCAGGCTGTATTCCTCAGGAAGTCAGAATAACTGACTTTCAGAAATATATATATATATATATATATATTAAACAGTCTCTAAATGGTAAACTCTAAAATTCTGTTCAGCATTTACAGTTTATTTATTTCTATATTCACTTCAATTTTACACCAGTATCCTTGTTTTCATTAGCAAAGGGTTTTCACAGATGGATGCGAGAAACAGGTGAAGGTGGGACTCTGAGCTAAAGATGTGTCCAGGATAGTAAGTTAAATACTAAATCCACCTAAAATTTGTTCTCAGGTTTGTCAGAGGGACTTTGTCCTTAACTGTTAATTTACAGTCTGCCTTGCTCATTCTCAGACACAATTGTAATTCCTTAAGATCTACTTTGTTAACAGGCTAGTGCACTGATTTCCTTTGCACACGTGGCTTTTTATTTCCTCCTGCAAGAACTGCTTAACTTCTTCCTTTGCTGTTTTTAAGATGGAGTGTTTGGATCCCACATAGATAGCACATGCTGTGTTGTTATGTTTCCTACAAGCTGATGTGCATTAAAGCCTTCTCAATTCTCTTTGTTCAGACTTCTTAGCTGCATCATATCCAAAATCAGTTAATTAAACTTCTCTGAACTAAAAGCGTTCCTTCATTTTGTTGTAATCATTGCTGGAATAAAAATGGAATTGAAGTACTGATTAAAGATGAGTTGATATTAATAAAGGAATTTAATTGTGATTGAATTTTCTTGTCCTTTGCTTAATATTGGGATGATTGAGTAGCATGTTTGATTTTTTTCTTTTTCCCCCCTAGTTGGTTACCAATATGTAAGATTGAGGGTGGTTTAAGCTTTCCATTTTGGTCTGCATTTGTGAGGGTTAGTGCTTTCTAAATACCATTTTTAATGTTAGTCTTTATAATCCTATGGCTGTTTTAACTGTTAAAACATGCTGGAATTGATAGAATAAGTTAGAATGTGAGCTTGTGAAGGGTCTCTGTTAGGCTAAAGCTGGTCTAGCTCCAGTTTGAAGTGGGATTATCACCAGCACTAGGTCAGGTGACCCTGGCTTCATTTGCCAAATCCTTGAATCCTCCTTCAGCCTCCTTTCTCAATTCCCCATGTGAGCTAATTCCAGTTTGTCTCAGAATGTTCATTCTTGAGGTCCAGAACTAAAGCAGTCTGGGATTTAACCTTGCAATTTTACTATCACAGTGATAATATGTATGGGAAAAGTTTAGATCATGTGGGAATAAAACTTTGATTTTCAGTCATGCTTAGAAATCACGCATACATGAAAATACCCAACATGCTTTTTAAGTTGCCCTAACTGCAGTCTTCCCCAAGCTGTTTGTAATTTCGGAGTATTGGGATATTTGTCAGGAATAGTATTCTCAGTAATTAATCAAAATGTGTGAGTAATGGACTGTAATGCCTGAAGTTGTTCTGAACTGCTGATGGCAAGTGACAGCTGTGAAAGGATGAGGTGATGATGTCCAGATGTTGTGAAGAACTTAAAGCCCCTGCCAGCCTACCAAACTACTGTATTTCCTTATTTAGTATCTGTCTTAGGACCTGAGCAAAAGATACAAAGCAAAGCAAAAAATAAAACATGAAATGTGATGGGTTTATTTTTTATGAAAAGATTTGAAGGCGAGAACTTGCAACCTGCTGTGTTCCTGGTGCAGAAGAGCCCAGCAGGCTCTTCAAACCATAAATGGGATGCAGTTTTGTGTTCTTGTGAATCTTATTTCTGTAATTGCTTCTCCCTACTGTGAGTGCTCTGTACCTGCTCCAAGGAGCAGGACTGTGTTCCTCTGAGGAAGAGTCATGAGACACTAGCTGTTGAAGTCTCTCTAGTATTCACTGAGTGATCTCCTAACTTGGTAACAGCATTCCTGAAAATGATCTTTTATTTAGAGCAAAATGTTTAGGAATAAATAATTTTGAAATAACAAAAAGTCAGTCTACATTATTTCCTTTTTACCCCTGAGGTTTGCCATTTCCTTGTCCTGCAGGTAGCAGCCCTCCACAGAGCCTTTGTCCACCAGACTCTTTCATTGACTGCTGCTGCCACCCACATCTTGTTCTTACTAGGGAGCAAAAGTGCATCCTGCATAAGGGCTCATACCCAGACTGTACTAAGCCAAAGCTGGATAAGATTGCTGCTGGTTTAGATTCCTCTAGGCACTAATGGAAGTCAGAAGAATCTGACAAACTCACTGAGGATTTTTCTCAAGCTACAACTGCATCTAATGTCTTTATTTAAAAATAAAGTGGGAGGCCCAATGCTTCAGTCCCAATGAGTCCATATGGTTGTGGATAGTGTAAGAATATGGTGCTCTTGTTTATGTTGCATGCAGGTAAAACCTTATAAAAGAAAGGCCTTATAAAATCAGGCCTTCCTCAGCTGAATTAACAGCTAGCCATTCAGTTCCCATGAGAAAGAATTCTAGGAATGAAAATCATTTTGCATAACAGTCTGTCCTGAGAAAAACGGGTTGCACCTGTGAGAAATAAAAAGTCTATCCCAAGAGAATCTGTGAAGAAAATATGTAAACACTTGTGTAAAGAGAGAGTCTTAGCACACACAAGCACCTTCTAACTAATGAATTGAGTGGCAAGAATGTTACTAATTAATTAGAATTAAACAGGATGACTTTGAAAACTGTATAAAAATGGGCTGTAACTTTCAAGTGGAGCTTTTTGCCACTGAAACTTTGAGGTGCTGTGCCTGTCGTTATTCACTGGCTATTGTTATAATGGCTCCAGAGTTTAGAGAATCACAGAATGGTTTGGGTTGGAAGGGAGATTAAAAGACCATCTAATTCTTCATGCCTTCTCACTACTCCTAGAATAATACCATTTCTTTTCCTACTCCAGCCTGGCCTTGAACACTCCCAGGGATGGGATATCTGCAGCTTCTCAGTTGCAGACTGAAGTTTGCCTCCTTGCTGCTTCACCCTATCAGTAATTATCATCATCCTTAAAGACTGCCAAAGGCTTCAGCCTCCAAAGCTGGAAGTGCTCACAGGCAGACCCTGTGTCCATGCACAATACACACAGACCTGCCTTCTGCACACAGCCTCATTCCTGGCTGGGCTTTGGGTTCATCTCACAGAAATTGCAGAGTGTCACCCACAGCAAGGAGAGCAAGGTAATGCTCAGTTGCTATGTGAGATGGAAAGCTGAGTGTCATCATCAAGGTGATCTGGAGTTTGCATCCAGGCTTCTTATCAGAGCCCTGCTGTGAAACTCTGGGACTCTCCAGCCCTGCCTGCATAACCAGATTTAAGGATGCATTTGGTATTCATCTGGTTCAGGTCCTGAGTTCTCCATGTATAAACTCACGGAGATCATGCTTTTGAAGGCAGAAAACACATGATGCTGTACAAATGTGAAGTTTTATTGTGATTTTCAGTGTTTCTAGAAATAAACAAAAGCAAACAAACCTCTTTGATTTATTGTAGAAGTGGAAAGGAGCAGAGTGTTAATGATTGGATATAAAACCTATACAGTGAAAGGTTAAAAGCCAAAAAAGTGCATATGTAAATATGTTTAATGAGTACAGTTGCTGATAGCAAACACTGACTGTATATGACATATCCTGTAGTTATAGAGTACATGTATATACACATTTATATAAGACTGAAAAGGCACTAGAGTTTCCCAAATAAAACACAAGTAAATTAATAGTGTAAATCCAAACACTGAGGCTGGGGAATCGGTTTAGGGGGTTGTGCTAGAAGGGAAATTTTGAAAAATCATATGGAAGTTGGAAACTAGGTTCCCACTGAAGGTCAGTGAATTCAAAATCCAGCTCCCATTTGTATCTTCAAAATCTCCTTTAATATACTGATCAGATGCCAAATAATGTATGTAGTATGAGATTAATGAGTCTATAAAGGAATGTACCATACTGCAGAAAACTACAGAATATTAAGCTTCTTATGGAGCTGAAGAGCTTACTATAAAATCTGGCACTCTTGTTCATGCTATTCTTAAGTTGTAGAAGTAAATGGGTTCTTGCAATACTGAGAATCTAAATACATTCCTGTGCAAGTTTGCCCAAAAAATCTATTTGTGGGGAAAGCTGTCATCAGAATAAGGAGTAAAGAATAATGTAGAGTGGGCAAACCTGGAAGTCAACCTTTTATTTGCTTTTACCAGACTGACCTTTCTACTTTATTTTGACTGAAATGTTTACAGGTTAAAAAAAAGGCATTTTTTTAATCTCTTGTAAAAACTTACAGGAGACTAATATTCTATGAAGGGGACTTGATAAAATAATGTATGATAGTACATGTGCATGTAAAAAAAATCTCTGTAGAAATAAGTAGCAGAACTATCTTATGGGTGGTTGTGGTTTTTGATGTTTAGCTTTTGTGATTTTACTGCCTTACCTAAGGAGTGTAGGCTGTGTGAGATGAGTATAGGGAGTTTTTCAGGTCACAATTTTAGCAGTTGTAAGAAATGCTGAGTAGGTTTATGTAACATTTATTTACATAAGAAATAAAAACAACAACCAGCAGTGTTCAAACAACTGCAATGACTGTGTCACACACCTGATGGTAGAGTGACAGAACAGGCAGGACAGGGCAGGTGCCATGTAAGAAGATTCACTCTCCTTTTGGAGTCACAACTGCTTTGGTCTGATGCTCAGAGCAGCTCCACCTGTAAAACACGAGAATGTCTGCTGTGCAGGCAGTAATGAACTCTGCAGTTGTGTGCAAAAGCATGTGGTGTTTGAAGTCCTGTGAATGCAAACCCTCAGGTAGCTTTGTGAACACAGGTGTATATCATGTAGCAGCAGAAAAACTGAATGATCACAATTCTGAGACACCTTTGGTGCTGCTGGTGTTGTAAAGGCCCCTGATTCCATTCAACTGATTCTTGTTTTTCTGAACTATTTTATCACTTCTGTATTATAGATTCTGCCTTTTCCATATGGAGTATATTCACACTGACAGGCTGCTCTGCAGACACCGTGTTGGAGAGTTGGGACTTAAGTCAATGCCAGCTGCTCCCAGCTGCAGCTGTGTCCCCTTGCTCTGCCTGGGAAGGTGCTGAGCCT